CACTGTGCCTGGCATGAAGTGAGTATTCAGTATATGCTTTGAAACAAGTGACTGGATGAACCATGGGTCCTGCTGTCAAGGTGCTTGCAGTTTAGGAGGGGGAACTGAGTCACACATAGAAGAGGAATGCAAAGACATGGGAGTAGGGAAAAGAGACCCATTCCTGAGCAGGGGAGCTGGGAAAGTGATGCCAAAAACTTGGCTCCAAAATGCCCCAAGGACACGAGGAGGAAAGGTCCCTGAGCTACAGGGACAACCCTTGCAAAGGCCAGGAGGTACAACCTAGCAGCTCTGCTGGACAGACTCTAAGCGGCTCGATGAGGCTGAATTATGGGTGTGAGAGTTAAGGGGGAAGAAAGAGACACCACTGGGGACAGGAATGGGGCTGAAGCTGCTTTCGGGTGGGCCTTGTGTGCCAGGGAAACTGGGTCTTATTCCCCAGGCAACAGGAGCTATTGCAGGGTTTTAAGCAATAGGATGCACAGTTTCACTTGCATTTTAGAAAATGGCCCTAGCAGAGGTGTGAATGGCGGACGGCAGCAAAGGGAGCTGGGGGCAGGCTGCTGGAAGGAGGGACAGACGGAAGGAGGGCTGGGCGCTTCAAGGGAGCAGCGAGGACGTGTAGGTTGGAGGAAGGAGGCAAAGAGAGAGAAAATGGACAGAACTTAGCGACCATTTGGCTGTGAAAAAGGAAAGGGGTCACTTAAGCTCTTAGCGTCGCTATCTGTGCTGTAAAATGAGGGTAAGATGATCTTCCCAGCAGTGTCATTGTGAGCTGCACAGGAGGACGACTGAAAGGCTGGAACGGGGTCTGGCAGGCGGCGAGAGGCATTTTCCCTTCTGCACCTCGCTGTGCTTTTGTGCCATCTCGTACGCTACACTGGTTTTTTCAAATTTCATTTTGAATTTTAGTATATGCAATATACCACATGATGCAAAACTTACCATCTTAACCGGGAAGTGTATGCTTCAGCGGCAGATACAGATATCAATATAGATAAAGATACAGACATCTCATAATGTGCAACCCTTCCACCATCCACCTCCGTAATTCTTTTAATTCTATACCCATTAGCTAAGTACACATTTCCCCTCCTCCCAGCCCCTGACAACTCCCATTCTACTTTCCGTCTCTGATTTTGGCAGCACAGGTGTGGAAGATGGAGTCATGCAGTATCGGTCTCTCATGTCAGGATTACGTCACTGAGCCTAATGATCTAAGGTTCAGAATTTCCTTCCTCTCTAAGGCTGAATAATGCACTTTGTTATGTACATACATTTTGCTTACCTACTTATCTGTCTGCATACTTAGGCTGCCTCTACATTTTAGCTATCGTGAATAATACCGCTATGAATGTGAGGCTACAAGTATTTCTCTGGGTCTCTGCTTTCAAATTTCCTCAACATATACTCAGACGTGGAATTGCTGGGTCCTATAGGAATTCTATGTTGAATTTAGTGATTTCCACAACAACCACACCATGTTTTCCCACCAAAAAGTTTACAGGAAATCCAATTTCTCCAGGTCCTCATCAAGTTATTATTTGCTAATTTTTGCTAGGAGTCATCCTAACTGGGCTGAGATGGGTCAGTTTTTACCCTTTTGCAGCATATAGCAGAACCAGGCTCAGAGGGGGTGAGCAATCCTGGGATAGAAAGGGCCAGACCATCGCCCATGGGCCAGAGGCACACGCCCTGCCATAGGCAGCCACATCTGGAGGACTCCAGATCCCTGGCAGGTCAAACCAGCTCAGAACAGGCTGCTTGTGGGGTTGGGGATTTAGCTTAGCAGCATAAGCGCCTGCCTTGCAAGCAGGCAGTCGTGAGTTCGATCCCTGGTACCGATAAAAATGAAAAAGACCAAAAAAAAAAAAACAGACTGCTTGTATACAATCTTGTTCCTCAAGATATCATGGAGGCCACTCAACATTCATTCCATTGAGTCTGCTCAAAACACACACACACACACACACACATACACAGAAACCACTGTAGGCTTTTCGAGCAGAAGGACTAAAATGAAGAGCTTGGTTGTCACTGACAGAAGAGGCAGAGTGTTCCATAGTGAGCCACAGAAGGAAATTGTCCCCCTCCCAGAGAGAAGCATTGGTCTAAGGCTAAAGACTAAAGGCTGAGGTCATCGGGCAGCAGCTGGAGCCACTGGGCCTCTGGAGGAAGTCAGGCCACTGGGAAGGCTGTTCAGCAGCAACAGAGGAGACATCTAGACTGCAGAGTCAGACAAGACACCCAGGAAAGAAATAGCCCACTTTCCCCACCACTCACATTCACCTTCTTCCAGTGCCTCTGATTGGCTGAACCCATCCAGAAGCCAGAGGGAGCCTGGGAAATGTAGTTTTCTGAGACATAAAATAGGGTGGGAACAGCAGGAATGGGTTCCTGAGCAAGGGGCAAATATTTGCCCTTTCATTCACTCCTTCATTCAGTCAAAATTTATTGAGCATCTAGATAGATGGCTGGGGGATAAAAACAACATCCAGGGTCCTCCCCCCAATCTCACAGAATTTAAGGTCCAGAAATATCTGTACTATACTGCTCATCGGATGCCCCTAGGTACCCAATAGCACCTGCTTATCTAACGTAGGCAGGGGTTGGAGCAAAACTTGGGGAATGGTTGCCTGGGAAGCTTTCAGAGTGTGGAGAAGGTGGAGCTGAGCTGAGCCAAGGCTGTGGACCTAGAGGAGGAAGGAGCTCAGTCACTGGGCCTCCTCCCAGCTGAAAGCTCAGCTTAGAATGCAACATCTCCAAAAGGGAAGAAAACCCTTAAATCCCAGTTTGTCTTCTGAGCCTGAGAAGCAAGGATCTAATGAACATGAAACACGCAGGCCGCTCAGAAGTCCTCTTTGAAACCTCCGCAGGCCAGCTTTGTCAAGGAGCAGCCTGCCTTTCAAAGCGGCTGGCTGGCTGCTTCCCCTCTCCTCCCTCCTCGGTAACAGGCAGCGGTTAATTAGCCAGACATGTTAACCACCTTCTAATCCCATGGGAGAGGTCCTAGGGCTTCTGAGAACCTGGAAGTGGGGCCGAGAGCTGAGTGCCTCCACTCCTACACCCCGCGCCCGTGTGCTCCCTCCCCTGCCAGCCTCGCTCCCACCTGGGCCCTCCCTGCAGCAGACCTGCCCTTGGCACTGGCTCCCAAGGGCCTGTGCTCAAACATGCCCATTTCCTCCTGACTCTGCCTCTTCCCAGAAGCCTCCCCAGATTTATCTCATGAATAATGACCAATCACGCCCCAAGTTCGCCAGTCTCACCTGGGATCATAATCTGACCACTATGCCAGCTTCCGTGACCTGGCATAAGGTCATGCTTCTCTCTGGGTGTCAGTGCCCCATCTACAAAACAAATGTTTGGCGCTTTTCAGACTGGAGCACTCATCAGAATCACCGGGGATCTTGGGAGACACACAATGCAGGTCACAGCCCCAGATTCCTGAGTCAGCATAGGGGGAGGAGGGGCTCAGGATCTGCATTTTTAATAAGTCTCCAGCTGCTGCTGATGCTGCTGGTCTTACTGGAGAACTAGTGGGCTGAATGGGTGAGTTTTCATCTGTACTTGTCAAGGTTCTGAGGCAGGAAGTTCTCTCACTCTGCACAGGTGAGGTGATGATGGGAGAGAGCTGAGAACTCCACCCACCCGAGTACTAGCAGTTTCGCCTGTCTGCTTCTCCTCGTGAGATGTGATCAGAACTGAGGTTCCATGTTTTAGGTCGAGGGTTTGGAAGCCTGTTCACTAAACTGGAGAGCAGGAAACTCCTTCCGGCTCCGACCCACCAGGGCTTGGGGATCACTGCATAACTCCAAGCTTCTCCACTGGCCTATTATTCAGCAGCCCCCAGGGAGAAGGGCAGCAAGAGCTTGGCCTGGTATTTGAGTCCTTGATCTTAAGGAATAGGTTACCAGAGGGATGGAGAGGCTGGTGAACCACCAGGCTATTTCAACAGAGGATGCACCACAGAATGGTCTCTCTCTCTCTCACACACACACACACACACACACACACACACACACACACACACGGGCAGGGCTGGGAACCCCAGAGTCAACGTGAGTGCCAGGAGGTGACATTTTGTCAGAGTGGGCCAGGCACAGGTCTGTCTGCATCTGTGACAGCAGGCCGACAGCCAAGGGAAGAGTGTGTCTGGCAGGGATGTAGTGGGCACCACCACACTTCTGGGGACCAGGCACCCTTAGGGCCCCCTTCCCTGGGACCCCTGCTGTCAGCTTTCCTGAATGCTGCTCAGGTCCTTTCTTGCCTTCGCTGCCATGGCTGCTACACTGCTTCTCGGCTAAGGAGTTTCCAGCTTCCTCCACAGAGGTGAATGCCCCTGAGCATGACGTCCCCAGCTCTGAGAAAACCCTTCCTGCTCTGGACACTACACATGACATCCCCGTCAGCACAATGACCTCCAAATACCCACTCCAACCCTGGCCTGTCCAGCTCTGCTGTGGACCAAGCTCAAATCACAACCTGGACATCAGACTTCGCTGACTTTGAGTCAAATCCCTGACTCTGCCTCGGCCTCTTCCACTGTGCAGCCTGGGACAGGTCACGTGGGCCTTCGAAAGTCCACGTTTCTGCATAAAGGAGGAGAGGGAAAAGGAACGGGAGAGGACAGTTTCTGTTGGGTGAGATAAGGAGTGTGAAGTCCCTGGCACTGAGCAACCACAAGGCAGGCACTTCCCCTTCGGTCCCCAGTTTATGTTCCCAGGGCTAATTTGTGTTGAAAATTCCCAGGGGCTGGTGAGATAAACCAGAGCCTTGTATGCAAATATCGTATAGTTTCCCTTGTGTAAAAACTAAAATGGTAAATAAGATCCAAAATGTGTAATAGATACTGTGAAAGTGAAAGGGGAAGAAACTGTTCAAAAGGAAAGAGTAACTAGAGCAGAGAAAAGGAGAGAAAAGAAGGGATAAGGAAATACACATACATACATATGATAGAATAACTATTCTACTAATCTGTATTAGTTCATAGAAAAGAACACTTTGTACTTACATTGTTTGATCAATTTCTTATGTCTTCAGTCTTTGTTTTGTAATCTGAGCAACTACTTTTAAGATAACAATACGTAATACATTAACCACTGTTAACCTCCTAGTATCTTGGTTTGAAATTCTGTATCTTTTTTTAAATTTGTTTCAAAATTAAAAAAAAAGAAAAGAAATTCCCAGGGGCTCCCTAAGTACCACCATCTTCTTAAAATCCTGAAGCCAGAGGTGACCCAGAAGCATGTAACTGGAGTCCACCTTGTCCTGTGCTGAGACAGCTCTCACATGGACAGCGGAGCTGAGAGCAGAGCACGGGTCCACTGCCACGCGATCACCAGCTCAGCTCTCCGCTTTCAGCCAGAGCCAGAGACCTGCACTGCGGTGTCCTTTGATGGGGATTCCTTTGGGTTTGCAGCAAGCCCGAGTCCTGTTAGTGTGAGTGGGACAGAGGCAGGAGGAGGAGGCCTCTGCACAGGAGAGCTGTGCCCTGTGAGAGTCCTCAGCTATTCCACTCTGGGCCAGACTCACGTTTAGGCTTCTCAAAGCCAAAACTCTGCAGAAAACTGCATTCTCCCCACCTCCCGCCTGCACACTAGGAGAAACCAGGCTAGATCCTTATGGCACCTCATTCACCACCAACAGGACTAACAGCGCTGCAGTGGACAGGACTGTGCTGAGACCTGTCCTCCCTTGTCCCAGGGAAGAACAGGGATGGGTGCCAGGAGGACAGCAGAAGTCATGTTCCTTTGTCACATCCAGCCTGGAAGGCTTCTGACCAAGGAAGCGAATGGCAGGAGGAGGTCTGGCTGGGAGAAAGAACACAGCTTGCATCATCCAAGAAGTCAGGAAGAGAAATGCACCTCACCTGCTGCCTCCCTGCTCCCAGGTCCCAGGGGGCTGAGCAGCAGGACCAGGATTCCTCACATAGTCCAGTCAAGAGCAAGCCCACTGCCTGAGCAATCTCCTGTGCAGTATGGTCACCCTGAGGGTCACACATTTTTTGGGAGTCCTATTTGCTCCCACAGAGACCACCCTAAACCCGTGGTCCAAGCAAGAAGACAAAGTCATCCAGGTGCTTTACAGCCATTAGGCACATCTTATCTGTCTTGACCAAAGTCATCAGCCCCATGGCACAGAGAAGCATGCAGAGACTCAGAAGGTGGAGCCCCTTTCCCAAGGTCACTGAGCCTCTCAGGGAAACACCTAGCGCTCCAACCCAAGTCTGCTTGACTCCGGATCCTACAGTCTCAGAACATACTATGGTCTTTTAAATAGCATGAGTAATAATACTTATTATAATAACTAATACTTATGTGGCACTTCCTACGTGGCAGGTGCCTTTCGGTACACTTTGTATTTAAATCATTTAATCCCCATAATAACCCTACTAGACAGGTACTATTGTTGTGCTCGCTCTGAGGCACCGAGGTTAAGCCACCTCCCCAAGGCCAGAAGACAAATCACGGGTGCTGAGAGTCACAGACTGACAGAAGCCGGAGAAAGCTCTGCAGGCTCACAGGGGGGAAGGGGTGGACTCAGGCTGCAGTGAACAGTGGGATACCTGAGAGTTGCCTGCCGCCCCAAGATGCTGACTCTCTCACCCTGTATTCCAGAACTTTGGGGTCTGCAGTTCCCCAAACTTCCTTCTGCTTCCAGTTTGCCCACGGCGAAAAGGACAGGAGCCCCACCTCCCGACTCTGTTCCCCTTCTCCTGGCCCTGGGCCCCATCACATCATGAGGCCTCCTGTGTAGCTGAGATGGATGTGGCCAGGCATTTGGGGCTGCTTCATCCACAGTTCAGGAAGACACTCAGCTGGTGCTCACGTGGGGGCCTCCCGCAGATGGTGGCTGGATAGTGAGAAGCCTCTCCTTCACTCCACTTGGGCCCCAGGGCTAAGCAAGTAGGAGTTCCCTTTGCAATGTTGTAGCTGCCACTCAGAGAAGGGGGCATAGCCCCAGCTGTCCTCAGGCCCAGTGCCTCGCCCCCACTCCAGGTCAGGCTCCATCCTCTCCAAGCCTCATTTGGCGTCAGCCACAGGTGCTGTCCCTCTCAGCACAGGACAGAGAAGGGCAGGCCAAGGACCAGGGCCAAAAGCCAGCGAGGACTCGGGAACCTGAAGAATTCATTTAGCTCTTGTCTTTGCAGCCAGCACCCTCCTGCCAATGCCACCAAAAAGCCACGGGGTCTCTGCTCCTGGGGTGCACACAACTTCTTGGAGCTTGGTCAGCAGAAGAGTTTGCTCAATGGCTGGCTCTGGCAAGAAACAGAAAGAACCTTCAGGCTGGTGTGGGCATTGGGACACAGAAGGGAGAGGAGGCAGGAGCAGAGACCAAGTGACATACCGCTATCAAGGTGACGAAGATTGTCTCCCTCCCTGGGCCAGGTCCCCAAGCTCAGTCCTCCAGAGGTCTGTGTGGAGCATGGAAGAGAAAGGAACCAGCAGCACAAGGCTGAGAAGAGGCCCATGGCAAGGATGCTGATTTTAGTGGTCCCAGAAGGTAGGGAGCAGGGCCACCAGCATGTCTGGGAGGGGACTGTGGATCCTACTGATGTGACCCCCTGCAGCGTTGGGCAGAAGCATATTAAGGTGGCCTTTTGCTGAGCTGGCATGTTTTTGACTCCCAGCTGGGTCACAAAATGGGACAAAATATCCATAAAGTTCCCGAGTGTCTCTGCAGCTAGAAGCTTGCCAGGGGATGCTGCCCCCCCCCCCACAATTGATCTTAATTTCCTTGATTTGCACATCCCTGGCCTCACCCAGGGCCCATTCCCCACCATGATGAATGGGTAGAAACAGCCTGGAAAGCCAGGTCTCAGGGCTCTGGGCTGATCCAGCAAGGGCCACAAGGAACAAGGCAGCCAGCTCTGTCTGCCTCCACCTGAGTCCACCCCTGCCCCTTAGGCTGTGAGCCCCATGAGAGCTCAAATCCTTTCTCCATTTGTTCCCTGCAGGAAGATCTCCACCTTGTCATAAAGCGCCAGGATGGGAAAAGAGCAGGAGCTCAGTACCGGGGTTCAGTTTTATCACACACCCGGGGAGTCTGGCCCAGGCCTAGGTGCTTAGAAAACAGCAAAAGTGTGACTTCACTGTTAGCTGATCTAAGGGGATTTGGCCGCCTACCATGCAGAACGCGTCCATCCCCACCTCCTGTGGGGCTGCCCCAGTTTGTATCCTAAATAGACTGAGGCTGCCAAAGCAAGCACTGGCAAATTATTCGGCAGCTCTGCACCGTTGTCTCCTTAGCTTTAAAATGGAACCAATAACATAACCTACTGCTCACGTGTCCTGTGAAAAGTCTGAAGGATGGTGTGCTTGGCAGAATAATAGGCTTCAAAAGTGTTCACGTCCCAGTGCCAGAGAACTGGGAATGTTTCTTTGCACAGCCAAAGGGGCTTTGCAGATGGGATTATAGTATAGCTGTATTAGTCAAATTTCTGCCACTATGATAGGAAAAAAGACTCTTTTGGCTTACAGTTTCAGAGGCTTCAGTCCATGGTCATTTCCCAGCTGTCTCTAGGCCTGCACTGAGGCAGAACACCATGGCAGGCACATATGCTAGAACAAAACAAAAGAGAAGGGAAGTGGGGTCCTAACTTCCCCATCAAGGCGTGCCCGTGTCCTAACTTCCCCCTACTAGGCCTTTCCTCCTGAGAGTTTCACCACCTCCTACTAGTGCCATAGGTGGGACCAAGCCTTTAACACATGGCCTTTGGGAGACATTTAAGAGCCAAACCAACCAGGTGTGGCGGGGCATGTCTAATCTAAGTATTCTGGGAGGCTGAGTCAGGAAAATTACAAATTCAACCCCAATCTGGCCAACTTAGAGACCTGGTGAGGTACTATCTGAAAATAAAAAGTAATACAGCTAGAGAATATTTTCACGCAAAGGTCTTGGATTCAGTCTCCAATACTATAAAAAAAAAATATCCAAACCATGATAACAATTGTCAAGATGGAGAGATCATCCTGTATTCCCTAAGTGGGTCCAACCTAATAATGAGTTCTTAAAAGCCCTTGACCTCTCCAGGCTATGAAAGAAGGGAGGACATAAGAAGATACAACAATATTAGCTGGCTTTGAAACTGGAGGAGGCATCGTGAGCCCAGGGAGATAGGCGACCTCTCAAAGCTGGACAAGGTAAAGACATGGAAGGCCCCGGAGCCTCTGGAAAGGAGGCAGCCCTTCCTACACCTTGGTTTTTAACCCAGAGAATCTTGTGTCACGTTTGTAACCCTCAGCAGAGCTGCAAGATAACAAGCTTGTGTCGCTTTGATTCGCTGAGTTTGTGCTAAGTTATTGCAGCAACACTAGGAAGCAAATACACATGTGCGAGCAATTTGAAGAGTATCCAGCACACAATGAGAGCCTAAGAATGTCAGCTCATTGTTATTCTTACTAGCTTGGCATCGGTCCGAGTGGGGGGCACGTACTTGGTTGTAGCGTGAGCTGCTCAGAGTCCCTGCCTCACTGCCCTGGGGAATGGAGACTGGACATCAGACAGCCAGGGGGCAGGAACATGCTCAAAGCAGATATGTGCTTGGCACAGCCACCAGCGAGTATAAGACAGATGATGAGGCCCCCCTGCAGTCTCTTTCTTTTAAAGAGCAGGAATAGTGGGCACCCAGGAGAGAGGGGTGGGCCTGCCTGGCACAGACATGATGACAATCCTATAGTTGTCCCTGCAGAGATGACAGCCACCCCAGCCCTACACAGCTAGGTCTGCAAAAGGCTTGGCCATGAGAGTGATCTGTCTGGAATTCAAACTGTATACCCTCTGCGCTATGCAAGGATGAACATGGGGGGCCCCAGAAGGGACTGGGTTAGACAGAAAAGGGGTTTCCTCTTGGGGCCGGATTAGTAGGTCCGCTCAGAAGGGCTTCTGAGGGCTAGACCAGGGAGAGAGAGAAATGACCCTTGAGGTGCCATCTGGCTGACTGGCTCTGGGTCACCCTACAGATCCAGGACCTCTCAGTGGCCTCATCCTCACCCTCTGACCAAAGGAAAGTGCGGCTGTGTCCCCCATACATGGTCTGCCTGCTCCCCATCTTTGCAGAAGCATTCGTGGCCTATCCTTCTCCTCCATGACTCCTGCATCCTGCCTAGACACTAGAGGAGGTCAGAAACCTATCCCCAACACATCTTCACCACTGTCCACATTTCCTCGGAGGTTCTGCTGCGGATGAATATAGAGGCCACACTGGTGGCCTTTCCTGGACTCCTGAGTCCTACGGTAAAAGCCTTTGCCTTGGGCCAGACCAAACCCCCCAGTACACATACCAAGACTGTCCCACCACGGCCACAAACTTCCCCATGTCTAGTGGACAGGGGCTGCTTTCCATCAGACCCAAGCTCAAAGGCCCTGTGAGACTTAAATTCCCTGAGGGCAGGGCCACACCTGTCTGTGCACCCCTCCAGATGGCCTGGCAGGAGGGGCTCCAACTCTAGGCACTGGAGAAGGAAACCCCATGCAAGCAGGGGCCCTGGACCTCAATTCCTCCATACTCCCTCCAAAGGGGCTTGGGCAGAAGGAACCACCTCCGAAGGGGCCACTTGGCATAGCTACTGCAGCAGTGAGGCCGGAGGACAGGGAACCACTCCTCCCAGAACAGCCTGACCTTGGCCAAACCTCTGCCCACTCCTCTGTCTCCAGCTTGCAGCGCCACTTACCGAAGAGTTTACTCTCCTAGGACCTCCCACTCCCGCCTCAGGAGGTCAGCCTGCCCCGGCCCTGCATGTGGCACTTATGCACAGCCAGGAAAAGCACCTCTTTCTCCACATGGACACAGTTCCTACCAAGACACACAGCCTGGGGAGAACATAGGCCAGATCTCAACTTCCATCTAAAGATACCACTTGGCCAGGTGTCTTTGCACAGTGCGCAACCTGCCCTCCTCTGCCCAGAGCCCTGTTGAATGGAGTTTGGAGAACACAGCTGCTGAAAGAAGCTGCTAGGACCAGCCTTATCCCTCCACCTTACAAATAAGGAGATAAAGACCCAGAAGAGCAAGCTTAATTTACCCAGGTCACATGGCAGGCCCGTGGCAGAACCAAGGCCAAAGACCGGATAGCCTGATCCCAATCCAGTGCTCTTTCCCTCAGCCCATTGTACCCAAGCCTTACGCTTGAGGACAGATGCAAAGCCGAGATGGCAGGAGAGGCACCAAAAGCAGAGCCTGGGAAGCCTTCTCGAACTAATTATAAGAGAAGTGATAACTTCATCTCGAACTCTGTCTGGACATAAAATTGAACATAAAACTCTCTGAACCGTGTACCAAGCACCTAACCCTTGGCCGGTGTGCAACGTAAATACAGAGCTTCCCATTTATTTCCCTTCTCCCGGCCACACTTATTCTGTGCTTCTGCCAAGGCTGTGGAGGCCCGCAGATCTGTAGGGGCCGGAAAAGCGCAGGCAGAGCTTCGAGCTTTGGAAGCACTCTGAACACACACCCCGAGAAGCTGACTTTTAAATTCGATGATGCTGATAAAAGAGGAGAGCAGGAAAGGCAAGAAAGAGGAAGAAGAAAGGCAGGCCTGACAGTGCGGCTCGGTGGTGGAGCGCTCTCCTGGCCCAGGCCCCCAGCACCACAGTTCCTGCCACCTTAGTCCCTCACACAGGGTTGCAGTAACACCACTGATCTCTGCCTCCCAGAGCACACATTTGCCCCTGCTCGGTCTCTCTGTGTAGTGTCTACAACATAAATGCACAAATTAAGTTCAGGCAGAGCCAAACATCCTGGTTTTGAACATAAGCTCCGTCGTTTCCCGGCTGTGAGATTTCTGGCAAGTGCCTTCCCTTCTCTGAGCCTCGACTTCCCCTTCAACAAAATAGAGATAATAACAAATGTGACCTTGGAGAGTTTTTAGATGATTATGGGAGAGAATGTATGCGTGACACTTTACAGGGTGCCTGGAGGTAGTGGGTCCTCACAAATATCTCAGAGTGCTATTTTGTGACACCTTGTTCTGGTCCTGTTTCCCTGCAGAAATAGAGAGGGGAGTATTGTCCAGGATGTCTGGCACAGTTTACAGTTCAGTATTTCAGCTTCAGGATGGACGGTCTGGAAGCTTCTAGTCACAGGAATAATCAAGCATAATTCACATGAGTATTTTACATGGGCATGGTAGAAGGTGGTGTGAGGGGATGGGTCTTTCAAAGTCCCTTCCAATTCCAAGAGCCTGTAGAGAAACACACATCCAGGTACTCAAGAGGGCACAGCCTTGCCCACAAATAGGGCCACGCTCTCCACCCTGGCTGTGGGAATTAGGAAGAAGTATGATAAACCAGGCAAACCAGCGTCCCCACCCAGTCTCTCCCCAGCCCCAGCCCAGCACTGCGTACACACCCACTGGCAGCCAGGTGGCCAGCAGGAGCTTTGCGGGAGAGGCCAAGCAGGTTGTCAGGAGCCTGTTTCCTGCCCATCCCTTTTTATGGTACTAACTGCCAGCCACTCCCCACCCCCACAGCAGCCCAGGAGCCATGGGGGGCAGGACCAGGGACAGGGACAGGTAATTGGGTGCTGGTTGTAGCTCTGACATAGGTGCGTGGGGAGAGCATCTAAGCAGTCCTGGCCTCTAACGGGCAAGGACCTCAGAATTGAGTTGCTGTGAGAGGTAAGAACTTCCCCAGCACATAGGAAATCAAACACAAGTCTGCAGAAGAGTCAGAAGCCCTGTCTGTAAGGGAGGCTCAAATCCAGCTCCACCGTTCTAGTCCAAACAGGGACAGGCTTCCGGGTAGAAGAAGAGACACTCAGGTGATTCTTACCGCCTGAAGTATTCCTGCCTGATTTCCTCACTCACCCACTGGGTCTCGGACACTTCTTCCTGCCGTCCAGGGCAGACGGCTGAGCTCGCACTCAGGACGGCAGCCAGCCATGCACTCCTGCGTATCATTTGTCACTGTAGCTGCTGCCACAGCAGCTCCGCCTTCCTGGCAGAATTGGTTTTGCCTGGTATTTAACAGGGCCCCCAAGTGCCACGGAAGATCAGATCAGGGGAGAGGAGGTCAGGGGCTGCAGCAGTGGGGACACGGTGGAGGGGTTGTCCAGCTGGTGAGGCTGGAATAAACCCTCCTCTGGTGATTCTTCCCAGGAGGCTTGCAAAACTTAGGTGAGGAGCCAGCACTGAGAGGAAGAGCTCTGCCTGGCACGGTGGGCCTGGTGGAAGGCAGAGTGTCTCCGTGTGCACGTGAGCATGCGTGTCTGTGCGTGTGTGCCCACCAGCGCGCGTGTCCTCTCGGCTTCCCTACCACAGTCCAGCTGCTCTTCCCGATCAATGGCCTCTTCTGTGGCAGAGAGGGGCAGCAGGGAGGACATGAAATGTAGGGGGAGGGCCGCTTCCTGCATGCCCACGAGTCCGACCCAGCTTACAGTCGTCGGGGGTACCTCGGGAACCGGGAAACGGACGCCCCCCGGAAGTCTCTGTACACCCTGAAGCTCAGAGGGTTACCGCTGGTCTCCTGGAGCAGCCAGTGGGGGGAGGAGGGGCAGGACTAGGTCCGCAGGTCCCCTGCTCTGAGAAAGGAGCCGCGCGACTCCCGGCCCCTCTGCCGCTAGGTGGCGCAGAGCCCTGCTCGTCCCACTTGGGGCAACCCCAGGGGCAGCGGCCCCAAAGCAGCTGGCACAGCTGGAAGCGGGCTGGGGCGACAGGGGCCTTCTGGCGCACGCAGAGAGAGGGAGCAGGGAAACAGGACGGTCGCATTCGTGCAGCCATCACGCGTTCCTTTACGCACGTCGATAGAGTTGCACAACCTTCTTATAAAAGTCTACATGTTGGGGCTGGGGATTTAGCTCAGCGGCATAAGCACCTCCCTTGCAAGTGTGCGGCCGTGAGTTCGATCCCTGGTACCGATTAAAAAAAAAAAAAAAAGTCTACATGTCCTTGTCTTCAAGAACAACCTCAGAGAAACCAAAGCTTCGCGCAGGGTGTCTTCTGTGTGCAGGGTAATCTGTGCGCAGGCCTGGGAGAGGTGCAGCCAGCGCTCTTGATTGTGAATCAGCGGAGCATGGGCTCTGAGGTGGCCTGTCTCGGCCGTACTCCAGACCCATCAGGTGGGGACAGTAGCTCTTTTCTGCCAGTTCCTGCTGAGGCCTAGATCACCCCATGTGACCAGGCAGACTCAGCCCCTGTCCTCAGGAGTTTGTGGAGTAGGGTGGGGACACAACAGGAGGCAGATAACTATACAAATAATTACTTAGCTCCGGCTGCCACAGAAGTTTCCAGATACTCAGCCGGAGCTGCCTGCCTGGATCCTAACCAGGGCTGGCTGTAGAAAAGATGTCACTTCTTCCTATAACATAAAAATACGACAGGGTTGCTTGACACCCAGAGTGTCTTCTTCCTTCAAGGAAACAGCACAAGGGGAAAAGAACCAGCATTTTCTTCGGGCTTAACTCTGGCAAGCATGGCGATCTTCACTCCAGAGCTAGGGTTGGAACCCACGACTGGCTGACATTCAAATCCCACACTTCCCCTGCTATGATTGCTGTCCCTGGGACCAAGTCTAGATGCTCTCTGGGGGCTGGAGCACTAGGGGAGGAGAGAAGTCAGAAAGAGAAGGATCCAGGCAGGTAAGAAGCCTCCAGAGAGGGGCCTTGTCTTCTCCTCCAGCTCATCCCAAACAACTCTTTCTCAGCATCTCTGGACCAAACCACTAGCCGCTTAACATTCTGCTCAGTTTCCTCTCTTCTCTGACTCCAAATGTTTATCAACACATGCTGTAATGTAATCAGCTTCTGGGAAAATACACACCAGGTAACGGATGCTGACAAGAGTGTCAAACAGATGTCCCCTCCCTGCCCCTCCTTCCCTCCCTCCCAGCCAGCGCTGGCATACCCAGGAACCACCTTCCAGCCTTGGCAGTGGAGGCATTTCTCAGGAAGCTGCCAGGGCAGGGACGGCCTGGCACCACGGGGTCCAGCGGTCTACCAGGAACTGTACTGTAGGCTCTGTACACCTGCTCTCATCTGGTCCTCGCATGACGCTGTGAGTTCTGTCTTACCATCTGCATTGTGGGTACAGAAACTATGGCCCACAGCGATAATGAACCCAGCGTGGCACAGCAGCAGAAGTCAAGGGACAGGCCAGCACCCTAGTGAGCACCCGTCATTGAAGGGTGCTCTGATCACCTTTCAAAGTCACTGGCTCAGAGGCCGGGTGGAAGGGACTTGCAGTGCGATCCTGCCCCAGCACAGTGGGGACAGAACTTGGTGGAAGAAGGAATTTCCCACTGCAAGTGCGCCAGGAAAGAGAGGCTGAGGGAGGGGGCGCTCCTTCTTTGTCTCCCCCTCCCCAAACCAGAGCCTAAGGATCCACAGACCAGACAGACAGAAGAGAGGAAGTACAGAGTTGGGGAAAGCCCAGAAAGAATAAGATGTCCTCATCCAAGACCTTCCGGGGGCCCCCAGGAATCAGGGATCAGCTGTCTGAGGCTAGGCTGTCCAAAAGGAAATCAGTATTTGCTTTTCCCTCCAACACATCCAATTGCTCCTTTCATCTGACAGCAAGTTGTAAATGAGGCTTTATGGGATTTCTAATGATGGTGGTTTCCCTTTATCAGCCTCCAATTCCCACTTCTCGGCCAGAGCTGACTCCAGAAAATGTTTTGACCAGAATCAAGAATCTTGCAGTCCCCTATGCTGAGGACTGGAGGTGGTCAAGTCAACATCCAAGCGTCAAGGACACTCACTACCAAGTCAGAGATGAGTTCCCAGTCATCTCCTAGATGGGCATATCTCAGCTCCTGGTTTCTGGTTCTGCAGACATAAACCTGGAGCAATAATACCGCTCCACCCACCTATCCCGTGGGGCTGCCGTGAGGGTCAAATAGGATTACAGGTCTGAAAGCCCTCAGGGAAATATAAAGCAATCACCCAACCTGGTTTTGCTATGATTATTACTGCTGCTGTGCTTTCGCGTAGGTGCAACTGGGGGAACAAACTACGGCAGCCTGTAGGTCTGAGAGTGAGCTCACTTGTGTACAGGAGTCTGCATGCATCAGTTTTGTGAAAGGGTGAAGTTCTTGTGCTTGAACCTGCTTTTAAAAGCATATACGAGGCAGTATATGTGTGTATCAGTATATGTGCGTCAGTATATGTGCATACATTAAAATCTCTTAATATACTCATATGTAATATCATTAAACTACAATACAAAGCCCTGTGTCTCAGGCATTGAGTTAAATGCTTAATCGGAATGTTCCTTTCTAATCCTCATGGCATCTCTTTAGGATGTGAGGGGGTGTGGGCCAGCACAGCTGTGCAGACATCTATCTGAGTCGGTGTAGACAGCATTTACAACATATGTGTGTTAGTGCTTGAGCAGCGTGTCTATGATAAATATAATGCCATGTTTATGCATCTCATCCAGGTAGCAGGGAGTGTTTCTGAGAGCTTGCCTGAGTTTCAATGAAAATGTAGGCATAAATGTCAGTGAGTCTAAATGAGTGTGCACAGGCGTGTGTGTGTACTCATATACATGTGGGTGCACGCCTACTTCCTCTTTCCTGGGAAGGTCAGTATAACTGTTCATGATTTATCAGCTGTCTTGGCCGCATGAATCCCCAGCACATCCCGAGTGCCACTGCCACACAAAGCATCAAGCCCATGCAGACGCACTGTGGTGACAGCCATGTGCCTGGGAGGAGGCGCCACAGCCTATGCCAGGCAGACAGGCTCCTGCCAGGGGAGTGTGCAGGTGAGTGCACCAGGCTGGGAGATGAGGGTCCCTCTGCAGACAGGCCAGTACAAGGGCCCTTGGAGCACAGCAGATAGAGCCACGCAGTTGGGTCAGAGGACCTAGGTCTTGCACAACAAACCGGCCCGGCTCAGGACTGCCACCTTAACACAGCGCCTCTCGTCTGTATCAGAGTTTAATGATGTACACGGGAGCTGCTGAGTGGGCAGGCGTGAAAGCGCTTGCTCTGCTCCAGTCCTACCACGGCCTCTTGCTGCCCTAGGAACTCGGTCCAAAAATAAGGTAGCATACAAGGCAAGCCTCCTCCCAGACCCCTCGCTGCTCCTGCACAGCCAGCCACACTGAGCCACACTGTCCTGCTATGCACTGGGGCTCTCTTCCCTTATTTCATTTCCCCACAACACAACATCCCTGGCTCGCAGGCCCCACATCTTGGGGTTCTGCTGACCTCAGAAATCTCCTGGTCCTTCCTGACCCCTTCCTCATGGATCTGTGCCTTCCCCAGTAGTCTTTGGTTCCAGGAACAGGAGCATGTACACAGCTTTATCCCAATGCCCAGCACATGCCTGTTACAGGTGGTCCATACATATTTCCTTTTGGGTTTGGTTTGGTTTGGTTTGGTTTGGGGTTTTTTGCTGTGCTGGGCATCAAACTCAGGAACGTGATCATCCACGTTTTAGGTAAGTACTCTAGCACTAAGTTGTACTCCCACGAAAGTTTATTGCGAGAGATTAGTTGCCTTAAATGTGCATATATAATCATGGTCTTTTTTAAAATAGGTTCTTTCTGTGTAGTTGAGGCTGGCTTCAGACTCTTAGTGATCCTCCTGTCTCAGCCTCTCAAGTGCTGGCATCATAGGTGTGTGCCACCACACCTGGCTTCTAGACAGGCTCTTAACTCTTAGCTCTCAACACTGGGAAGAACCCTCCTTCTCCTCCCCGCCATCCCACCCACCAGTGATAATCACCCAGCCCAACAGGTGTGAAGAATGTGGAGCTCTCACAGTGCTTATACAAAGGTCTCCGGTGTCATCAGCACCATCTTACATGGGAGAAGACCGAGGCCTAAAAGGTCAAGAAGCTCATTAGTAGGTGGCTGATTTGTCCTGATTTATCAGGAACGTCCTAGCTTCCTCATCAGAAAGCCCCGGGGGGAGGAGGGGTCTGTCATCCTTTTTGTTACAGGTCTCATGGTTGGCAAAAGGCTAGGTAGGACTCCTGACAGCAGGTCACAGCATCCTTCGCTGCTCAGCTGTCTCCTGATCAGCACCTCGTCTCGGGTCCTCAAAATTCAGTCACCCACATGGGCACTGCCTGCCCTCTGGATGTCACCCTCAGGCCTCTGGCACCCTCCTGGAACACCTCTCCCCAGAAGCATGTGCCCAAGAAACACAGGACACTACTGTCAATCTAAAGCAAATGTAATTCAGGAGTGCATATGTACAGGAAAAGCATCTTATAGACTATAGAAAAATATTAAATCTGCTATTAAGGCAACCTCGCAATGATACTAAATTTTTAAATAAAATTAAAATTTAAAAAATCTTTACCCACAAGTAACTTTCACTTCTCCATGTTGCCTTCTAATTTATTGCTCTATGGTGGCTATTTTTTACAGAATTGTAAGCAGAATATGTATCAGACTTGTTATTTCCCCTTCATTTTATAGAAACTGATTTAGACTCATTTGAGATTCTTTACGTCACCTCTGTCCCTCATTAGCCCAAATCATGCGGAGCCTGGGCTCAGTGCTATCTTCTCTCCAAAGAACCCTTCATACAGCGGGGACTCCTGGCCCAGCGCCCCAGCTGGGCCTCAGCAGGTGGTCATGCAAACATGGTCTTGTGTACTGTGCAGGTTTCAGGGAAGAGTGACAGAGCTCTCACCAGCTCCTTCCTGGAAGGGCAGACACCCGACAAGGCAAAGACCCACAGTTCCACACTCCTCCAGAGGAAATGTCCGCAGCTTATTTTCTCTGCTGCATTTGAACTGACCAGGGATCTCTGCTCTTCCTGGCATCTCTTGCCTTACATATGTTTCTGCCAAAAAAAAAAAAAAAAAATGGTTCTTCTGGATGAGTAATCCACCCTGAAAATCATCCTGACCACACCCCCTGGCCTGAGATGAAGGGGCACCATCTAAGGGAAGCGAGTGAGGGGGGAAAGCTAAATGTCTCTTCCTTGAAGTCCTCTTTCCTTTTGTCT